GTTTTCTTTTATCCTAACGCAACTCTCTTCGAGGACGATGTCCAGAAAGTCCCGAGACCATGATACCTCCGAAAATCCGTCAAAGGAACAACTGCTCTTTTCGGAAACGTCCGTCAAAACGACCGATGGCATTCAAAGGAGGAATTACGAGCTTGTGAAAACGATACTCTCTGAAATCCCGTTGATTATTTGTAGATATCACTAACAAATGGGAAACTCTCTCGCTTTGATAAACGTCCCATTATTGTAATCCCATTACAGGTACAAATTGGCAGAATATATTACTTCGGGTGCCATCAGTATTTCGAAAGAAATATCAGTCTTTAAAAAACGAAGCTTTTTCTTCTATGAAGTTCGACAAAATACTATAGCCAAATCAAGTGCTGCAGTTTTAGTTTTTAAAGAAAATATTGCATATCGAACGTAGAGAGCTTGGAAAAAGTTTGACGATTTTAGTATTTTGCATGATATTAAAACGTATTTTAAACGATATCAAGTAAGTGAAACAGATGCAGAAAAATGAAAAGGCAGAAAATGGGAAATATTCATTACAAATTTTATTTTTCCTGACCGATAGCTGAATTTTCGTGATTGAATATCAGAGAGAGCTTCTCGTAATTATTGATTTTAAATAAATAAAGATATTGCATATAAGTTGGTCAGTCGAATATTCAAATTCCGACGCTCAGCGTCTTTTTATTCAGATAGACTTTCATGGTTATCACGACGTGAAATAATCGACAATGAAAACAATTTTATTTCATAACTTTCAATTTTTTTAATTACATTTATATACAGCAAATATATTGTACTGAATTAATTATCAAATTTACATCATATAATGTAATTATTTCATCATATTGATGGAACAACAGATTAATTAAAAGTTGTAATCTCAGATCTTTGCATTAAATTTTACGTAACGTAAGATAAAAATATCAATTTCCAAGCATGTATCTAATTCTGGACGTTTTTATTGTTTTACTCTTTAAATACGAATGTTTAAACTTACAACGTACAATATATGTACAAATATTCTCAATGTTAAAAGTTTAAATTTTCATATTTAAAGACCAAAACAATAAAAATGTTAGGTACGTGTCTTTTATCTTATTATTACTTAGATGAAATTTTGATATTTATGTTTATTTTTTTTCTACATGATAAATGAGTGTAATTATGCAATAATAATCTAATCTACATAAAGTACATTCCGAAAAAAATTATGTTGAAAATTTGATTTGTGCTATAAAAAGTATAGAATTGAAGTTCATCGCAATCATTCAAGAAGTTAATAGTCAGTTTCTTCATCTTTAAGAATGTTTACTGACAAGTTTAACTCTTTAAAAAATAGATAAAAAGGACGCGATTAGTAGAAAATAAGAACTGCTTTTTAATTAATTTTAAGCGCTTATTTTGTGTAAACAGATGTATGTGGATTACCGATTGGTAACAAAAACTCAAAAATCATAATTTTATGAGTTAGATCATTCTTGCATAACTTTGGTTAAATATGAATGTCATACGAAGCATTCAAAAGGAATGCAACCTTTAAAGGAATGCTAAAATAGATGACGAACTCAAAAAATATCGATAACGCAGAGACGACTGTCACTCACACAATCACGCTATCCTTTTTGTAATTCCTGTACATACAGGACTTACGTAAACGTATGTGCTCTTTTTATCATATTATACAGCAGAAAACCTAACCACGCAAATGCAGAAATCTTTCCGCAAATTTTTTCGATATTTTTAAGCTTCTGAATTTATACGAAGATACAATAATGTTCTTCAAAATTTTTCTGTTTGGAGCATCCACATTTTCGGTATGTATAAGCTACGAAACTTTTAGGTAAATATTACACCAGCTGATAGCTGGAGATTTTATATTAAATTTTTCTTTGTTTCGTTATATATTGAGCAATGCTTTTATCTATTTTTGCACGTATTTTCATTGCGTAAAAGCATTTGTAATTCTGTACAATCAATACGATATAAATATCGCAAAAGAATTCAATATACTGTCGGTAGAGTTTTCAGCATCCCCTTAAAAAAAAATCGACTAAGTTGCTGCCAAATTCACGTTTGGAAAGGCGTAGGCGGAAATATTCCGTTAGAGGAATTTTTTGTTTCTTGGGTACAAGATGAAAAACTTTGTTATAAGAACAAGGGTTCGTGTGGGAGATTTCTACTCAAGCCCGATTGCTTTCAATTGTCTCAATCATGCTTCAGTGCAGCTGAATTTTCAGACGAATGTCTTCAGTCACAGAGATTTATTTCTCGTCGGCGAATTTTTCCTCTGATCCCCATTCAGTTATCCGTATTGAGATTTTTCTCTCCTGTCTACCGGGACGGCTTCACATCGACGTTCGACACGAATTTCGAGGCGTCCCACGCTCTCCTCCGTCGATTCTCTCGCCTTCTGAAGGTTTCCCGCTAACGCTTCTTCACCTTGCTCGCACCTTGTTACGGCACGTATTGTTACGCCGCGTGGTGGTTATCGTAAATCACCATTTATGCAAATTCCAATGAAGTCGCGGCTAGTTAGTCGATAGCAGTTTTTATCAGCCGCTGTTGCGCAAGCCACGACCGCGAGTCGGTCCGTGTCGCTGTACTTTATATTCCTGTACGTGCAAATTATAGGTGAGCACGCATAAATTAATGTCTTTCCGCTTGCGTGGAGTCGCCGGTCGGGACGTCGCGCGCCGGCAGTGAGCTAATTATTAACGAAGTTTGATCGAAATTCCGCGAGCCGATATTATGGCCTGTCACTCGCTGAAGAATGATGTCTAATCGGATAGGGAATTCTAATCCTTAATCTCAGGCGACCGCGTGTGCGCCAAGAGAGCTCGTTACGCGCACAGACGCCACATACCTTCGCGATATAAACAATCGCGTTCCCACTGTACTGTGATCGCGTCTGTTTAAATATTTCCCTCGGGTATACGTAAATACACTTATAAAATTTATGACGATCACTGGCCATTACACGGGAGAAAAGTCTCAGTTCATATAACTGAGTAGAGAGATCTGACCAAAATTCGCTGATGAGAAATGATATCTCTTGCCGCGACCAAAAATGTTCGTCTGAATATTCAATCGCTTTAAAACTCGGATAACTGAAAACGTTTGATTGGATAGAAACTTCCTATAACTATTTTCTGGTTCCTATAATCGAGTTTTTTTCTGGCAAAATTGAGTTATACTAATGAAGTTGTGTTCTCCGCGTACAATAATAAAAAAAAAATTCGTTAACTGATTTTCTGTTATCTGGGTTGGGAACTCAGTTGTAGGGACAGAAAAGATTCCTCTCTAGGAAGTTTTTATTCAGTCCATAAGTTTTTAGTTATCTCAGACGAGGTTCAAAGCAGCCGAATGCTCAGACGTATATTTTCCGTCGCGATAACAGAAAGATATGTCGTTTCTCGTCACTGACTTTTCATCTGGTGCTGATTCAGTTACTGAGATATTTTCCATGACAAAGGACGATTTCCGACGATAATTTCACGAACCTTTTCCGAGAGTATTCTTCGAATTTCTTGGTGTGGAATCTCACTGAAAACGAGTGACAGTATTTTTACTCGGGGCGAGAGTAGAGATAGTGCCACTCGAAATGCAGAAGTAAATACTTCACTCAAGCTTAAAGTGGATTCTGATTCTATATGAGCGCATGTTGCGATATATGGACTAGGCTGAATATGTTCCAGTGACGATAAAGTACATCAGATATTTGATTTTCACAGATTTGAAAACTCTTTGTGAGTGAACAGTTGTTTGGACTCGAGTGATTCGACTTTTGTTTCACTTTTCTTTTTAAGTGGAATTTAACTCGGAATTAATTTTTTATTCATAGAAATGAATGTTCCAATCGATTAGAGCGGATTTGTTCTAATGGAACACATCCGAGATTTGCTCTACAATTTAGAGTGAAAACATTTATTTGACTATTTAGAGGGAGAATTCTCACTCTATGTGAATGAGAAGTCGTTCAAGTTCAAATGATTCGGCTGTCTCTTTACGTTTTAACTTGGGATGAGTCTCATCCATAGGACTGAATGTTTCAATCGATTAGAGCGGATTTATACCGACGGTGAAGCACATCAGCAGCATTTAAAAAAATGGTGGAAATTATCTAGATACGAGAAATTAACAAAGATAAATGACTAGTAAACATTGCGATATCGTATATATTTTTTATTTAATCAATATAAATGATAGAGATAGAATTTATATTGAACTACTTGTAAAATTTAGGAAGAAAGTCTTTCTCTGTGGCACCCATCTAGATTAATAATTGGTAACAAGAGCTAAATTTGCCTGCAGATATTGCTGGAATGCTGTTACTGTGAAGTCTACGTGCTAACGCAGAACATTCTCCAGCAGAAACAGGCGATAAATTTTAACGGTAACATTTAGAACCAGCAAAACGTTTTTTGCGTAAGAGGTCCGCTTTTCGAGTGAAATATTCACTCTACGGTTCAAGGGCCATATTCTTGAAAAATATCGCACACGATATTTCGATGAAAACGTAACATGAACCATAGCTTTTCATAAAAATATTATATATTGCGATACTTTTCAAGAATAAGAACATAGAGTGGAGAATTCACTCCATACGGTTGAAAAATCAGCTGATTTCAAGTGGATTTCGGTCGGTCATTCTATATTTCGAGTGAAATTACACACCAAACAGTTTAGGGAGCACCTTTGCGATTCTCCCTCGAATCTTCTTCATAGTCTTATAGAGCGCTCCTATTATACACCGCGACGGCTTTCGACAGGACTGCTTGAGGCATTCGCGCTCTGAGGTGCGTGTCACGTTCGCATTATTCTAAAGGGACGTCTACATTGGAAGTAAGCAGCAAGAAGTAGGAAGTAAGAATAAGAAATTGACCAATCAGTTGATTATTCTTCTCACATTCGACTATGGTTGGTCAATTTCTTACTCTTACTTCCAATGTAGACGTCCCTTAAGTGAATGAGAAATGAAAACTCACGGGTGAGGTGGCGGTGCGTGGAAGGCCGCGGCTGCTGCTGCGTGATGCTCCCAGGCGGCCGCCGCCGCGGCCACCGAGTGCGTCGGGTGCGGCGGCGGTGGTGGCCCATGATGCGGGTGGAACGTCGGCGGGGGTGGTGCATGGGGGTGCGGATGGAAGGCCGCGTAGAAGGCCGAGTGCGGGTGGTGCGGCGGTGGCGGCGGCGGCAACAACGAGAATGCCTCCTGATGATAAGCGACCTCCTTCTCCGGCATCTTGCCGGCGGCCGCCGTCGCTGCGGCTGCTGCTGCTGTCGCTGCTGCGGTCGCTGCTGCTAAGGCCAAGTGCTGCGCCAGGAAGCTGCCACCCTGTTGCTCCAGGATCAAGGCAGACCGATGGTCGTTCGGGCACCGTGCTCGCGACACCGACGATGAGACCGACGGCCGATGGCAACCGCAGACATAGTCCGTGCTCGAAGAGGCCGTCCACTTGTTCGGCACGGAGGGCGACGGCCCTGTGCTGAAGACGTTGCCGCGACTGCTTCTCGCTGCTTCTCGAGCGAGCTGCTTCTCGAGATAGACCGACGTTGGCTCGTGGGACGTACCCTCCAAGCCCTCCACGTCTACATCCTCGTTATCGGAACACGAGTGCGGTTGGAGACGAACGTGGCTGCCGTCGGCGGGCCCGTCGGCGTCTCCGCGAGAACCAATTCTGTTGGTTCCTGGACGTTAGTTCCCTAGCGTGGCGCGAGAATGTTTTAAATCACTGATGATCAGTTCAGGTATGTCCGCTCTCGGGGTCTCTTACTGCCTGGGAATTCCTTGCGTTTCAGGTCCTCGTTTGCTTCACTCTTCGGAGCGCGCGTCACCGACGGATCCCAACGCGATCCACGGCAACCTGGTCTCGCTACTTACACGAGCTCCTTTCACTGACCGCCGAATACGGTGACTCACTGTTAATCCACGCGGGCCAAGCTCGATTGGTCACTGATATCCCGACGGCAAGTTGCGCGTCGCGAACTCACGACACGTATTATCGCCACGCGAACGACCCCGTCGTCGTCGTCGTTGCCGGCGCCGTCGTGCTCCGTCAGATCTAGCGGATAAGGCCGCGTTGTCGAGCGATCACCATCCTCGCGATTAATTCGCCACGACGTCCACCGTCCACGCGAGCCGAGACCACGTCGTGTCCAGTGTCCCCGCGATCGCATTCCTGACCACCGTCCTACGCGAACGGGTGCGTTCGAGCACCGTGTTGTCGTCGTCGTCGACGATCACTAGCCGCCGTTCGGCGGGATAACACGCCCGCGACACTTGTTTCTATCCCCAGGGAATTCGACACGTCCCGACATTAGGTTGCGCACTCCAAGTGTCCCCGTGGACGTAGACCCGAGTTCCTTCCACCCCCGCAACGTGCCGTGTCTCGCTCCGAGGGCACGGGGGCTGCCGAAAGCGAGAAAGAGAGAAAGAAAGAGAAAGAGAGGAGAAGGCTGTCCGCTCTTCGGAAAGACACGAGACTCGGAACGTGTATCCGGACCCTGTCACGGTGCTTGTGCTTTGGCGGGTATGGCGGTACTGACTCCTCCACCACCACCATCACCATCGCCACCACCACCACCAGCACCACCACCTCCGCTGCTGCTGCAAGCATCAGGAGAGAGCATGGTCGAGAAGGAGAGAGGTCGGGCGTGCGGCGGTGGCTGCTGCGGTTGTGTGTTCTCGGGTGGGCGTGCGACAGAGAGGCCGAGGACGCCGAAGAAGACGCGAGGAGGAAAATTCGACGTGAGACCGAGGAAGATGGCATGAACGCCTCCGGTGTGGATCGTGGCAAGAGAGAAAGAAAGAAAAGGAGAAAGAGAGGAAGAGAAATCTCCACGGGGAAGAGGTAGTAGACGCCGAGGGACGATGCGGGAGAGAAAGAGAGGCGGTTCGATCGGCTATGGTGGGAAGGATCGCAAGAAGAGAGGGAACATGCGGCTGTGACGAAGGTCGAAGAGAGACCTGGCCGCGGGAACGACGGTTGAACGAGGAGAGAGAACGCGTGTCAGCTCGACAACTCAACTAGCACCAGCCGTCCCTGACTCCCACCCTCGGCCCTTTCGGATCTTTCGTCTCGTTCCCGCGAAGGGAAGCGCGTGGGTGTATCGGGGAGAGACGAGTCTCTCTCCTTCTGCCTCTCTTGTTCTCCTTCTCCCTTTTTTCCTTCGACCACGCTTCGAGATGAACGTGGATAACCGAAGTCGTCGCGTGAAGATCATAGTTGACGCGGTCGTAGCTGCGTTTGATTTCGAGGGATCGGTACATCGCGACAGTTTGGTAAAGAGATTGCAATCGATCGAAGATGATGCAATGAGGCAATGATAATTTTATTTTCTCCGTCGAGTTGTCATGCGGTTGAATGTTTTATTATTGACAAGACAATTATGCCCTCCCAGATTCAGTTTTTCAGTAATGGTTTAAAAATAGATTTACATTTAAACTTTGTTCAAACACCAGTGTGTTAATCGACTACAATTTTGGTTGACTAAAATATCGGCAAATCAATGATCAAAATTAATCATTATATTGTAATTATAGATAACACAAATATACAAGGGCCCTTTTTGATGAAATAAGTCATTTCTTATGTTTTTCTGTTCGTTGAATTCAAATCCGGCCGCAGAATTTACCTATCACGTCAAGATTTTGAGATATCTTAACATCAAAACGAGAAAAGGCATTTTTTAAGATTTTTAAGTTGAAATAACAATGAAACGAAGCGAGATATGTTATTTCTACCAACAGGACTGTATTCAGTATGAAAAAATCTATCGGAAATCATATATTTTCCTGGAGAGGAAAGATATTTTTTATCCACAGAAAGAAATAACTTGACTTATGATCACGTTTTTGGCAGATGTAAATACATATTTTTTTTCTTCAGAAAAAATACATGGTTTTCGATAGATTTTTTCATGCTGAAAATATATCTTGCTTTATTTCATCGTTATCTTAACTCAAAAAATCAACTTAAAGGTTAGAAGAACAAACGAATGTATAATCTTCACACCCACTTAAATTTGCTTGCAGATATTGTTAGAATGTTATTACTGTAAATTCTATGTACAGTTCTGTTATAAATTCAGTTATAAATACAGGCAGTTTTCTAGTAGATACAAAAAACAGCGATACATTTTAACTGTGACATTCAGAATTCTATCTCAACCAGTAAAGCATTTTTTTGAGTGCACTGAAGTGGATTCTGACTTCGTATGAAAGAATGTTTTACTCGATTAGAGTAAATATGTTCCTATGACGATGGAGCACATCGGATTCACTATATCCAATTTCGAGTGAAAATATTTACTCGGAAATTCAGAATAGGGAATTCATTTCTTATAAGTAGAAAATCACTCGAATTCGAGTGACTTGATAGTCATTCTATTCTTCGAGTAGAATTACACTTCAAGAAACTTAGGGAATATATGAACCACTCATAAGGGACGCAACCCTTATAAATCGATTAGTGAAATTGTTGGCAAATTAACATATGTTTCTCTCTCTCTATCTGGGGATACAATTAAGATGAAATACTCAAAAGACGAAGCGACAGCTAAATGCTGCTATTAAACTCTGTTCTTAAACGGAACACTTGACAGAAAACACGGCGAGAACCGAGGTACCAGCGATTCGTGAACGACGCGCATGTGTCTGGCGTAACTTTCCGGAGTTCCAGCTTCCGGCGACGCTACCGTGAATTTTCGCCATATGTCAGGTTTTCGGTGGTTTCCCTTCTTTTGCCTCAGCTTTAGAAGAGCCGCTAATTTCTCCAGGTCGCAAGTTAACCGAGGAAAAATCTGGAACACACTCGAAGAGTGCAGCCGAAGACACGACCTCTTCCCTCATCCGCCCACTGTCAGTACGTCGTGCCTTTACTCGCGTTCTGCCTCTACTCCGGTTTCGTGTTGCCGTGCAGCACGTGTGAGACAACCGGTGATCTCATGCGAGGGTGCGACTCGCGTTTCGTCGGCTCTCGTGGCGATCTATTTCTCTCGCGCAATTAACGAGCGTCCATTTCGAGAAACCGTTTACTAACTCTCACTATCCCGACTGTCTTTATCGCTAGAATTTTTCATGCACGCTCATAAATGGCGACGCGAAAACTTTCACAGATCAAGTGCATCCTCTCTCCTTTTCACCTCTCAATCTCGGTATATTTATTATCCCGATATATTCTATTTATTGTATACACATAGACTGATGCCATTTTCATATCATGATGAATTTCATGCCTTATTTGGGCATCTTGGATAGTAAGAAAAAAAACAGGAAGACCTTCTTTTCTAACCCCCTCCGTATGAGGCAAAAAAATACTTCATTGCGGCAGTAGAGTCGCATGAATAGCAATTTTTGTTAAGGTTTCACTTTTGAATAAAAGTAGCAAGAGTTACTTTCAACTGTTACAAGTATCGGAAGCGTATAGGCCGCATTGCCCAACAATATTACGAGGCCGAGGATGTGCAACGCCAAGAAAAACGCCCTTGAGAGGTCGCGCGGGGAAAGAATTCGACGTCGAAGTCAATGGTCAGCAACAGCAAAGACTTGTATTTAGGTAGAAAAGGCAAGCTATATAGACCAAGGATAACTGACTAAAAGTAAGGACTGATTGTTTTATTATTTTTCAAGTTATTCAAAGTTGAAACTTTAAATACGTTTCTTTCAAAACAGTGTTTTCAAAGTGAGACACAGTATCTAAAAAAATATTTGATAAATTTGACTCAAGTTTTAACATTTTTTAAACATTTTACTTTATTCTTCATATAGGATATGTTTGATATGTTTAGCTTTTTTATATATGACCTGAAATTTTTGGCAAAAATTGTGTTTTTTTTTAAAACAACTGTCACTTTCTTAGAAATACACAAATTGAAAATCTAATAGGTGAAAGACAATTGATTGAAATTTTCTCTTTGAGATGATTACGTCATTTTTTACTTTCAGACCATCTTGTAAAGTGTTTCAACGTTCACCACAAAGTGTGTTCGAAAAAACAAGATCCGCGCCGACAGCTGTTGCGACCATTATTGTTACCAAATCCGCGTATCAAGTTTTTCACAAATACTATAAAGTACATAGAATACAATAAAAAACCTTGTTTCAATATCTTTATTAGTTCTTTTTTTGTCAATTCTCCAAAAACAGCTATTATTCGTCTATCCAGCCTGCTTTACCTTAAAGGGCTGGATACTAAATAATGCAGCTTTCGCACAGTATTTCTATTTGGTTGTATAAAATCCTAAATGCTTAGACAGAATGAAAATTAATGTATAGTGGAGTATTCTACCTTATATCAAAAACAAAAAAATTTTGTAAACAAAAAATTTGGTAAATAAAATATTTTGTAAATTAAAAAAAATTATATAATATAGGATACTCTCCGCCATATTTTGTACTTGCATTCTATATAATCATTTGCAATTTTGTATAATCAAGTAGAAAAACAGTGCAAAATAGAAAATTGGAACATGTCGGTATTCTCTTAACTCGAATAATTTATTGGTTCTCTGATGCGACGCAAATAAACAATTGTTAACCTGCATTTAAGATGCTTGAATATTGTAGGACTCCAATAACTCTCCCTTCCACTTTAGATTAAGGTACCTTGGCTCATTGTATTTACACATTTTTGTATCATGACTATTGGTTTTGAGAAGAATCACAATTCAGCCACATAAAATGCATTTATAGTATACAAAGTGGATACATATAATCATTATTACTGTTGCATTTAATGTGAGTGATTTTTCTTAAAATGAACAGTTATGATACAAAAAGATATATGTAGATATGTAGAGCAGGCATTATTGGAGTCCTTTGATATCTATGACTTGTGGCAGAACAAAGTCAGGTTTGTCGCATCAAGTGGAAAAGAATGCGCTGGATGCGTCGCTGCAGCAAAACAATAATTACGATCACTGGCGAATCGCAAACATGCGAACGGCGTCATCACAGAGCGCCAGATACGCATCGGCCTTGAGTGAGATTCCGCGACGACGAACGCCTCGATAATCACCGGTGGAAGAGGGATGAAGTGCATAGAGTCATTAACTAGCCGTTGACTCGTTGCGGTTGTCCTCTTCAACCTGCTGGTCGTTTGTCCCTCACACCCCACCCACCCTCCTCGCCACCTTCCTCCCAGCCCACCGACACGTCTGTGTAATTCTCTGCCGAGTGAGCGAGCGAGGACCGTCCTCATCAGCCGCGAACCGCGTTACGTTCGCGTCTGCCGACAAACACCCGTGACTACTCATTATTTTGTTGATTTTGCAGACCCGGTCGTCGCTTCCCCACCTGCGAAACAGGCGAGATTCCGTTCCGCGGGACCTAATTATCGTCAAACGACCGGCCAATCAGCCGGCACGAAACAACGACGTACGACGGGCTTTTAGGTATCGACTCGAGCTTGTTCGTTCTTGCGAATCGGCGCCGCCCTAATCGTCCAGCTCTCCGCGATCAACGTGGATGATGGCTCGCCGCTACTACGACGGGAATATTAACATGCGCGTCGTGGCGGGCGCTGTGGTATCTGAATGATTTTCCACGATGCTCCGTGTCGTGCTGCCGCGTCGTTAGCGGGGTACACAACCCCTGCCGCACGATTCGACAACCGAATGTCTTGCCGAAAGAGCCAGCTTGCGGAAGCGATGCTTAAGTGTTTGTCATTCGAAACGTTAACCCGTTGTTCGCGGTTGCAAACGATTACAAGTAGTATGAAATCGGGGAGCGATCGAGCCGTTAAGACGCGTTCGCCACGAATGTATAGTTTGGGATATAGCGCGACAGGCGTGACTTCCTGTCTCCTCCCCTGATCGTGTCCAATCGATGCGTTTTGTTGACTTTTTGAATCGTCGTAGTCGACCGCCGACCCGGCTATTTAGATGCGGCGGGGAGAACGGACAAGAAATAGAATTGTCAAGCCGGGAGATCGCTTTGTACGGCCGGGCTGAGTGAATGGAGCGCGCGATCGTTAAAATCGACAGAGTGCCGATATGCGAGCGCGGCTACGTCCAATCGATCCGTCTTACAGGACTGCTCCTGAGAGAATGCGGCAAAAAGTGGTTACTGCGCTCCATGGTAGTCGTGTTAGTCCAGTGTAAACAAAAAGGGACGCGTGTTACATGCGCTATGTGAGTACAGCAACTCAACCGAGGCAGCAACAACGCCGCGCTCGTTACGATCGGCATATAAGAGAATCCCCCTTCCGCTCTCCCTCGCCTCGAGGTTCCTTTTGTCCGGAAGATGTTAGTTTTTCGTTTTGCGCCTTTTTCTAAGCCACGCCTGTTATCTCGTGACAACATTACCGATATTGATATTATCGTTATTCTGTTGGGTGTTCAATCGATGCGACGTTCAAGCAATGTTTGCAAATCTCATCACAAGATGAGTCGTGCCAATTTGCTTTGAGATCGTTCCTACATTTGTGTCGAATTTTCCTCTTTTATGTTTGACAAAATGTGTAGGTGTAAAAACATCCAATTACTGACACCCAATTATTGATCCTCCCTGTATCCAGACAGCACAATGTCCAAAATCGAGTTATAAAACATCTTTAAGACATTTTTAAGACAATCTTAAGACAAGTTTATAAAGTATTGTCTAAAAGATGTCTTAAAGACGTCCTAAAGACGTTTTATGACTCAATTTTGGACATTTGTGCTGTCTGGGTAGTCATTAACATTCTAGAAAAATCTGGTTTTCTTTGCGATTAGTGATAGTTGTTCACAGTTTTAGTTGTAAGGTTCTTTTTTGGAATCATAAAGTGCAGATCAACAGTTTAACTGTAGTACTGGTCGTAAGAAAAAACAAGTTCTTTTTGTAGAATATCAGTGATTAAGGGAATGTCAACACTTGGGTGTTTTACAATGTATATACAAGAATTAACGTGGTTCTTCCAAAGCATATTCTAAAAAAATCCAATGAAAAGAGTTTCCATCGTTATTCCATTCATTTCGACAGCTCCGAAATTTTGGAGATTCTATGAAAATGAGAAAGAAAGAAGAGAGGAAAGAAGAGATACTCTGTGGCATCTCAGCCTCATTATCCACATCTCGATTTGCTTGGAAGGCGTTCTAGCAGCAAGACGTTGGATGCTGACTGCAGAAAGGGAAGACTGGAACCCTTTAGTTTCCGGACGATGGTGGGGGAGTGGGCCGAGCCAATGGTGGGACTGCTTATGGGGGGCCTCACCGGGTACCTGTTGGTCAGGTGTCCCCACTCCTGCTGCACCTTTTCTCTCGTTCCTTCTTGCTCTCTCTTGCGTCGATGCTTCCACCCTTGTTCTTCTTGCTCAACCTATCGCGCTGTTTCAGTCACGCCAACCAAGACCATCAGACTCAGCTTCGTAAGGATTATTCTCCAGGATCGCTATTGATCTTTCGACACTTTCTCATCTCGTAAAATGTTTTAAATGCCGAACGAAATTTGATGAGAGCTTTCTTTGCTATCTCATTAAATAACCATTAATTCGTATCGCTCTGATCTCTGGATACACATCCACTTTCTTTGCTTCGGGGTAAGATTAATCCACATAGTGTCCCGTCTGAGGTTGCAATTGTCGTTCTCTTGGAGGTATCTCAGGTGAAACCGTGATATCGAGCAAAAGACGATGTGCGTCGCCAACTTGCGACTCGCGATCCAAAGCAATGCAATCGAGGAAAATACGGTATGCGGTTCCCCCGAAACACGCACACCTTCGGCGGGCCGAACGGCGGAAGGCGATAGCCGTAAGTAAGAAGTGGCGGCTTTTACGCGGGAAACGTAACACGAGCGGCCGGAGGCTGCGATTCGTGACTTCTCAGAAAGCCGATGGAGCCCGTTGCCTTGCGGGCCCGTTTCCGAGCCCCCCGTGGTTCTAGCTCATTAACCGGCACTCACCCTCCACCCCCTCCTACCTCATCATCCTCTTCTGCACGTCGTTGGCGTGACGGCGGCCAGGCCCTACGACGGCGTGCGTGCATGCGCGCGCGCGCACGCGTGTGTATGTGTCCGTACGAGCTGATCAGGTAAGAAAGGAGCCGCCTGTGCCGACACGCGGGGCGCTAGGCGTTGGGTCAGTTAGTTATCGGGAACGAGGGACGGTTATGGATAGAGGAGGACAGTGAGGTTTCGTAGGGAACGCACGGCGAGATAGTCGGGTGGAAGAAGGACGGCCGGAGTGGGCTCGACTTGTAGGAGGGGGTGTGTGGGGCCCTTCTCGTTCCCTCAGCTCGCCCCAAGCCAACGAGCGATCCTCTCGTCGCTTCAAACCGGTGTGCGTCCGTCTGACGAGATAATTTGTTCCTCATTTCCTGGGATTTCGTGAGTCGGGCGACTCGATATATACGATGAAGGCAGAGAACGCGCGGCACGACGCGGCGGTGGGGCCCCGAAAAGGTCCCCACGAAACGAGCCGTCGTCGGTGTACGTGCGCGGTCGCAACGTGGCGGCGCCTCTTTATTATTACAGGGCCCAGCCGACACTTGGGCGTGGGAAAAAACGGCGGGGGCATTCTCTCTACTGCCGTTTCGACCACTGTCAGGACGCGGGAAACACCCGGTTATCGGACGAAATAACACAGCTATGCTAAGATACGATGTCCTACGCGCGCCCATGGGAACCGGGGATTTCGAATGGAACGCGCTCGGAGATTTCCATCGGATTCAGTGAGGAGATAGGTGCTCGTGACGAAGCGTCTGTGGACGAAACTTGACGTTTCGTGACGTCACTAAAGGGATTCCGCTGATGTGAGCGAGGGTGAGAGTCGCTTAACCCATCGGCAAAACACAGACTACCCGCAAATATTCCTCGTCGGGTACGACATAAGGCGGGAGGAAGGAAAAGAGAACGAGACGAAGAACGAGGGAAGAGACGGACCCCGGGAGGATCAGAGCAGAGGTGGCGCGAGGCAGACAGGCAGGTTGGTCCGTTCGCTACCCGGGGGCGCCCCAAGGTGGCCGATGCTCGCACGCCGGGCCCAAAAGGAGGACGCAGCGAGGGCAGTGTCGTTTGAGGAACGAAGAGGCGAAGAGAGTCGAGGAGCCTCGAAGAAACATGGTGGCCTCG